GAAAAGAAAAGAAAAGAAAAGAAAAGAAAAGAAAAGAAAAGAAAAGAAAAGAAAATGAACAGGAAAAGGCTTTTCACATTTAGGTAGCAAGAGTCAATAATGATATTCCTTTAGCTTGGCTTTCACCTCTTTGCTATTCTTCAGATGTGGTGGGATTACAGATCCCATGATTCCCATCCAGGCTGACTAGAAAATTTAAGAGTTGCCATCCCAATACATCTGGAAGGTGCCAAACTGGAAAAGGCAGCTTCAAGTCTAAATACTCGGGTGTTTTTCTGTATCCTCCTTGACCATTAATCTCAACACTCCTGCAGTAAACAGTTGACTTTCAACAACCAATATTCAATCTGGACAGCCAGCCAGAAACAGTAATGCCCCAGGCTGTTCGGCTGCATTTTTAATGCAAGGAAAATTCTTTTCAAATGGTAGAATATACATATATTAAACGATTGGGTTTCAGATGAAAGTTACCTAAGATTCAGTGCCCTGTTTTCAGGACTTTCATCTCTCCTGCATGTGCTGATAAGACAAAACATGTTTTCAATAAAAGAGCAATAACCAAAATGAGAAAAAAGGAAATGTGCTGAAAAACAAATGTCTTCCAAAATTAATAGCTCCTTTTATGGCTGTTTACACCCCTACGTTTTGTAATCACGTCCTTTATAAACCTGTGATTACCACCACATTTTAATCTCATACAGGGATACATATGAGGTTATACTCATGCACTTAGACAGAGACATCTAATCTTTTTTTTTTTATGATGGGACAAATATGTTACAGCCATAACCTCTCTGTTTTTGATTCAAAGCCACTTTGATTTGTATGTTTTCAATCTTCACGAGGTTGGTTCTGTTAAAATTGCTACCCTGATGAAATATGAAGCAGATGGGGGGGTAGGGGGATTATAGATTCATAAAATACTGCTGTAATGTTTTATACAATTTACAGCCAGTTAAGCATTCATAAATAGAATATCAGATGCCACGCGAAGCTGAGAGCTGCAAGTATTGTCTGGGACGAGTATCTCATATTCCTGTCCTTGAAATTTATTTCTGCTTCTTTTGGAAAAGATTTTAAGAGCTGCACTTATGTCTATTGGAAACTGCCTTGTTTCTCCAATGAGATCTTCCATGAAACAGACTCTAACCAATGTTTCCTTTTCTGTCTTTTAACCTGGGAGGGGATCTGCTGTGTGTTTCATAGAGCACATTTTTGCATTAATATTTTAAAATACTCAGGGGAAGCAAGGTTTATACCAGGGTGAGCCAGTGTAACAACCCACTCCTCTACTTCTGTGCACTTACCTAATTTTTACTTCCCATCTCTCTGCAAATATTTTTTTCAAGAGATTTAAGTAAGCAAAGCAATAAATTCTTCTACTTCTCAAAAGCCATGAACATCTAAAGTTGTTTCAGTCAGAAGGCTTTTCTGCACAGAATTCTATATCATCTGGATGCTGGGTACAGGTAGTCCTTGTTTAGCAACCACGATTGGGACCAGCCACTCAATTGTTAAATGAAGCAGTCACTAAGTGAAACCGTGATTGTGCTTATGATCTTACTTCAGCTTTCCTTTGCTTTACAGACCTGAAAAGGTTGTAAATGCAAGGATTGGTCGTAAAGTTACTTCTTCATCACCATCGTAGCTGCAAATGGTCACTAAATGAGGCAGTTGCTAAATGAGGACTACCTGTATACACCCAGAATGCACACATCCCAAAGTGACCACTTTCTAAGCATTTTGTTTGCAAGCTGGATATGAATGGCTCTACATCCACAGGACAGACAATGATATTATAGGAATACGTGATTATTTCTTGGAAACTTCTGATCACTTTTATAGTGGCATTCTTCAGGGAAAATAAAACATGCACCTGTTATTTTATTAATTTGCTATTTTTAAAGTATGAAGAGAAATGGAATTCTTTTAAACCATTCCGATGGACATTCCTAAGAAAGTTTCCTTGAAAATTGCACTAAATGCAGTGAAGCTCATATATATATATA